GTATTGTGTTTAGATGTATAGTGTTTAGATGTATAGTGTTTAGATGTTTCTAAAAACTATGTTTCAGAAAGCAGTTTAAAAGTTGACAGAATGTAAATAAATGGACACGGTTCTTGTTTTTTATCACTTCTCACTTTAATATTTGTGGCGTTGGGATCATAAATGTGCATTTATTCACGACAAAGCACACACTGATACACAATAACACACATCTGTCCTCGTTTTTCCATTTTGTTCATTTAAATTTTATAGCATGAAAACAAAGTTTTTGCTTTTTGCTGATAAATCAAATTATGCTGAAACCGATACTCGCATTAAAGATGTTTAAACGACCTTCTGAGGATTTCTGCTGATGAATAATAAATCCCACCATACATGAGTGGAACTAAAATGGCGTTAAGATACTTTGACGGCGGTATCATCTGTTCGCAATCAGCTGAAGAGCTTCCTGAACTTTGGTTTGAGCATCTCCAGCTGGCTGTTGTTCTGCGTCTTCTGCATCAGGCTGCTCGCCGTCATGATCAGCTCGTGGCCTTCGTCAAACAGCTGCTCGCCGATCGCCTTCTTCACTCGCTCTCTCCAGGCGCTCAGCTTCGGCCGGCCTTCGAACACGTCCACGCCGACTCCAACGGGCTGAAACACACACGCGCACACACACACATACACACACACACAAATATATATATATATATATATATATATATATATATATATATATAGTGGTAGTAAGAATATTACCTGCATGATCTCAACGATAGCCACCAGATCGGCCAGAGAGACTTTGTCTCCGATGATGAACGGTTTGCTCTGCAGGAATTTCTCCTCCAGCATTTTGAGCGACTGGTTCAGATCCTCGACGGTGGCGTCCATCTTCTCCTTCGGGACCTCAGCGTCCATGATGATGGGAAACAGAGCCTGCAAACATCAAACACACAACAGCAGTTGTTCCCAATCTATTCAGAACCTTTGATGCAGTTTATTCTGATGGTCAGTAAGATTCTGAACAGTTTTCATTTCTATAGAAACTAGAGACGCGTGACTGCCCTGCTGGTAATAAGAGGTCAATGAAATCAATAATGTAAGAAAGAAGAGGAATATCTTAAAGTCTGTAGAAAAGCTGAAGCTAAACTGGATCATAGGAGTTAAAGTGTAAGAAGAAGGTGATTAGCTGGAAAATTGGGAGTTTGTTTATTTCATATGAACGTCACGGAAAAGTCAAACAATACCAATTATGTATTTAAGATTATAAGTATAAGTTGTTGTTTTTTTTAAAGGAAGTGAAGTAGTGGGAACAGGAATATAATTCTTCTGATTGTCGTTGGAAAGTTGAATAATAACCAAAAAAACAAAATCAATAAAGTTGCTCCAGTTTGAAGCGGTGAAATGTGTGTGTGTGTGTGTGTGTGTGAGGACACACAGCTGATCCGGGACTCGTACCTTGAGCAGGAAGACCTTTGAGCCGTGAGCTCTGAGGTTCATGTGCTGCCACGACAGATATTCATTAACGCGAGCTCTCTGCTGCAGCTCAGCCGGGAACCAGTGATCCGCCACCGAAGGGTGTTTCTGCACCAGGTACTCCAGGATGGCCGTGCTGCAGCACAGAGGCAGAGACCTGTCAATCACCGTGTAGCCCCGCCCTAAAGCATCCCCTGCTTTATGTTTGTGTTTATGTTTAGAGTCTGTTTGACTCTAAATGGACCATAAGTTACTAAATGAACATCATGCTGTATTGAAGAAGACTTGAAACTAGAGATTGAGACCATAAACTCATGTTTACAATGTTCACTGAGGTAATAAATCAAGAGAGAAGTAGAGTCATTTTCTCATAGACTTCTATACAACCAGAGGAGTCGCCCCCTGGTGGACACTAGAGAGAATGCAGCTTTAACACATGAAGCTTTGACTTCACTCGGCAGAACCGGTGTCTTTAAAGAGAGAACATAGATAACAGCTTCAGCTGTATTTAATAATTAGTAGATGTAAGGAAGTCACCGTTGTACCTCTCCGTCAGGACGAAGCTTCCGTCCTTCATCACAGGAACCCTCCTCATGGGGCTGATCTTTCCGAACTCCTCGCTGTACTGTTGTCCTGAGGCAAACACACACAGATGGTTTGTGTTGTCATGTGAACAGAAAGAAAGAAGAAGAAGGCAAGTATGTGAAGAGTTCATGCTCCATTTAGGGAACAAGAGATGTATGAAAAAAAAGGAAACGTGAAATAAATGATGGTGTTTCTTTTGTCACAAACAATACAAAAATACATATGGACATATGCGTATTTACACATATATACATATAAATATATATACATACTGTGTATATATACACACACACATATATATATATATATATATATATATATATATATATATATATACACATACATACACACTCGGGTCGTATTGCAGTTTTGAGAATACATTTTTTCTTGTTGGTTCCTGAACACACCAGCTGCTCATGACTGGATCGTGAAACAGGTTAACGTCCTTTAGAACCAACGTATTGATCAGAATAAATGAGCCAGAAAGTCATTGAAAGTGGTGACGTTCACATTTAAGAAAGAAGAGATGAATAAAATATAAAAGAACATGAAACTGATTCTGGTGTTGTTTTTATGTGCCCCCCCCCCTCCCCCCCTCTGCTCTCAAATGCATCTCCTTCCTTTATTTCCTTTCCTCATCACCTCCCTGTTACACTCAATCACCTCAGGGATGCAGGACGGTTTTATCTGGACGCTCTGACCTTTGACCCGAGACATCCCCCCCCCTCCCACACACACACACACACGCACACACACTGTTTGCTTGCGACTGCCGGTGATCGAGGAGTTAACGTCGCTCTGCTGCTGCTCTCTGGGTGAAATGTGGAAATGTAAACTGATAGCCTCGAGGAGGAGGGAGAGGAGGAGGAGGGAGAGGAGGAGGAGGAGGAGGAGGAGGGAGGGAGGAGGAGGAGGGAGGGAGAGGGAGGGAGGAGGAGGGAGAGGAGGAGGAGGGAGAGGAGGAGGAGGGAGAGGGAGAGGAGGAGGAGGGAGAGGGAGAGGAGGAGGAGGGAGGGGGAGGAGGAGGAGGGAGGAGGAGGAGGGAGGGGGAGGAGGAGGAGGGAGAGGAGGAGGAGGGAGGAGGAGGAGGGAGGGGGAGGAGGAGGGAGAGGGGATTCTTTTTTACTTTTTTTTAATGTTCGTGTTTACAGTTCAAGGTCCTTCTGTTCTTGTGCAAAATGTTGCAAAATGTTGCACAAGATGGCTACAAATGTATATTTCTGGAGCTGCATCTTATGCAACAAGTTAAAAGTTTTGCACGTCAACGAACTTTGGAAACTTTTGCAAAACATGTTAACTTTGTGTTCACTTCTAAAAGCTCAAAAATAAAGTATTTTAAAAGGCAGAATGTGAGCTTTACGAACACAAATCACACATGCATCATCATAAAATAAAGGTTTGTCCATGTGTGTGTGTGTGTGTGTGTGTGCAGGATTACCTTTGGAGAGATCCACCAGCTTGAACTCAAAGGGAATCCCGACCGCTTTGGCGAACAGGAAGACGGATCGGCAGGGCTGCGAGTGCAGGTCCAGATAGAGCTCCATGGTGATGCTTCGTGTCCAGCGGTTCAGTCCTCTCCCGTCCTGCAGAGACTCTTATTATCCTCCCGTCCTGCAGCACAGAGCTCCTCCCCCCCTTTGGCTGCTTGTTGAGAGGCTCGGTGGTTTCTAAACGGTGGCGACAGTTCAAAGTGAAGCAGGCCGTCGTGGTTGAGCGGTCTGACCTTTGACCTCGGCCAGGTGAGACACTTGTGTAAACACACTCTGATTGTCACGTGACTATCTGCTTTATTTATCTCCTTGTTTCTGACGACTCAGCAGCAGCAGGCGTCAGTGGAAACAGGGTTTGACTTACTAAATGCATTCTTTACACATTAATAAAACATCACTGTGAATGTGCCAAGAGAACATTTTTCATCTGACAGATGTTACAAAGTCCCCCCTAAAACAACAGAATATCAGATTAAAAAGTTATTCATCATTTAGTATCCTTTTATAAACATGCAGAAACAATAATAAAAGAGATTGACATATATAAATACATATATAAATACATATATAAATACATATATACATCCAGGTTTTGGACTGTTGGTCGGACAAAACAAGACATCTGGGAACTTGTGATTAGTAATTTTTCAGCAATTTTTAATGAAAACAATAAGTCAACAGAATAATCCTCAGAGTTATAAAAATGACTTTGCAGTCTGTAAACAGTAATTATCTACAAATCTACAGAGAAATCCGAACAACAACAGGATCAAAGTGACTAAAAGCTTTATTTTGAAAGCGAGCGGTGGGATGAAAACAGTGGTCTTTCTTTTCTGCTTCATTGTGATGGCGGGAGGAGGACGGGGCCCCGGTCTGGACTCAAAACCCCCGGCCCCCAGCCTCCTACGCAAGTCCACATTCATCTGTCTTACTGCTGACTGGATGTGGTTCAGCGGTCTGCAGAGGTGGAGGCCTCTGGATCACAGCTGGACGTCTTCTCACTGCACAGTTTCCTGAGGGACGGACGGAGCGACAGCTTTTAAACAAAGAAATAGAGTCAAACTGAGAACGCAAAACAGAAACAAGTCCGGTTTACTTTATTTAAATAATCTGAAATGCAATTGTTTTTACACTTCTCAACATCTGGGCTGGCCGGCTCAACATCTGGCTCGTAAAGTCAAACTATGCTCATTATGCAGACTGGCCCATTTCAAATGAGATGTATACGGTGGGTTCATCATTGATGCATTAATGTGTTCATCACTTTAATGCACGGTGGAGCTCATTTGAACTACTTTATATACTTGGTAATTAGGCTATACAATACTTAGTAGTACGTCATAGTTTAGTAGTTGATTTATATTTTGTATTTAGAACCTGAATCTGCAAAGAAGCCCAAATAGTAACAAATATTATTAAATAAATTAAGTTAAAAGTAGAATATTTCCCTCTGAGATGTAGTAAACTAGATGTATAAAGCTCAAGTAGGCAACAAGTACCTCAAAATATACTTAAGTACAGTACTTGTACTTAAGTACATTCCACCACAGCTAAAACAAGAGCACAAAGCTCTTCTTACATCCATCCTCTTCATTTTGAACCAGATTGGTGCTTTTAGCTTCCGGTTCTGAGGTCCACCCACCAGTCTCACAAAGCCCGTATGGAAACACTGAGGTAGTGTACGGAGGGTGTTCAGCTACAAGCAGCTGCTCCTTTTGGCCTCAGACAAATGCTCTTTAGTTTGAAAGTTTTGATAGTTTAGCAGCTGATCTGGTTCTGGTGGGACCGGAGCCTCAGCAGGACTCTGACCCGCTCGCTGATGAGCTGCTGTGAGGAAACAGCCGCAGTGTCTTCTGTTGTTTTTTCTTTTCTTTTCATAACAGGAAACAGAGACACGTTTCCTGTGGAGAGTGATCCCAGTACCTGTCTGGTTTGGGGGTCGGAGGTCGGAGGTTTCTGTGCTCGGGTGAGTCGTTGACGGGGCGGAGCCTGGGGGGCGCTGCTCTCCAGGATCTCCTGCAGCCTCAGCATCTTCCGATCGGTCTCGGGCGTCTCGTCCGAGTCCTGCAGAGGACAGACCACATCAGCAATGATCTCAACACAGAAACACTTTAATTTTGTATTATTTGCCTAAATATTTAATGTAATGCAAATATTATATATGATACTTAAAAATGTTGAAAGGTCACAAACAATTTGATCAAAATGTGATCGATAATAAACAACACAGATAAAAGTATGCTTACAAAAATACAGTTAAAATACACTATTTTATACTTTGTAAGTTATTGATGTTTTCCATTTTAAAAGACTCTGAAGTCATATTCAAGTATTGAGAATTCATTTTTCAGCCAATAAAAATGATTGAGAGTTTGTTGCTGAACACAACAGCTGCATGCGAGTCATGAAATGTAGACTGGATCACTAAACCGGGTCACAGCCGGTAGAACAGAAGTGTTGATCAGAATAAATGAGACAGAAAGTCGTTAAAAGTGACGGTGAAGCTGTTCCTTCAAAATGAATAAAGATGCATATTGTTGAATATTAATGCTCACATACTCGTCCTAGTTTGGATTCATGCAGAAAAGTGAAGCAGCTGTTTAATTGTTGCTAAAGCACATTTATTTAATCTCGTCCTGCATCAAGTATAATCTCGAGGTACTTGAACTTTAATCGAGTATTTCTAACATGTGCTACGTAATACTTGTACAGCTGTAGTTACTTTTAGACTTCACATTTAAAATACTGTCTACGTGATCAGAGTTTTGTTTCTTTTATTTACCAAAGAATGCAAAACTTCTACTCGTAATGGAGTATTTCAACTTGTTAGATTGTGTTGCTAAAGATCTGAATACAGGACGTGAATACTTCTTGGATGTTTGTCAGAAGGTGAATGTGACGTCATGACCTTCACGGATTAAAAAACGAATCGCGTTGAACTCTCTGGGAAACAGCCGACGGTGTTTAAGAGCAACGAGCGGTTCCAGGTTTTTGTTTGGAGGCAGCAGGAAGTGAAGCAGCCGTCATGGTGCTGTGTTGTTTTGTGTTTTACCGTCAGGATGTGTCCGAGGAGGAGGACTCCCTCCTTCGTGACGGCCTCCAGCTGCCTCCTCCTGCTGATGCTCTCCCTCTGGAGCTCGGCCCTCAGCTCAGCTGACTCGACTGTTTTCTGACGGATCTCCTCGGACTCTGAGGCCAGGAGTCGTCTGACATCACGACTGAGAGAATCACAGCGACGATGTTTACATGTACACTAATATTCCACTGTTATTCCAAGTATGAAAATACTCTGAATTTGATTACAGTAATTATTCAGAATGGAGCATCTTCTGACATTTCCAGGACGTGAAATATGCCGATAATATTCAGAGTACGCACGGCTGCATGTAAACTTGTAATAATAGCAAAATATGTATTTTCATTAACCATCCAAACAGAGTATTGAGAATACAAGTCTTATACATATTTTATGCATCTAAGCGTGGTCGCTGTGAAGCAGCATGCAGCGGGGGTGTAGCTCAGTGGTAGAGCATTTGACTGCAGATCAAGAGGTCTCTGGTTCAATTCCGGACACCCCCTGTCACATTTTTATTATCGCTTCATTGGCTTGAACTCAGGGTGTGAAACTGCCGGTCGGGGGTCCTGAAGGCCTCCACAGACTCAATACATGACATTCAAGACAAATTGCAAGGCTTGTACTGCCTGTTTACTTCTATGAATGGAGGCGGTGCAGTCGGACAATAATTAGTATAAAAAATGGGCTGTAATACTTCCTGAAATGCACCTTACATTACAAAGACAGTGAATCTCAGGTGGTTCGTAGGACGAGAGTAAACTTTTACCTGAGAGAGTCTTTCCTGGCCAGCACGCTCTTGTGGGCGGAGCTACAGTCCTTCAGCTCCGCCTTCAGCTGCTCGCACGCCATCTTCATCTGCTGCAGCTCCTGGAGAAGAAAAGAAGTCAATGCTGAAGGTCTTAAAGCTGCATTCTCTCTAGTGTCCATCAGGGGCTACACGGTGATTGACAGGTCTCTACCAGAGACGTATACGGCGTCTCTACGTCACTCCTCCTCAGTCCAGATATGATCACTTCTGTTCATCGGATGCAAAAAAAATTAATGAAATCGCTGAACTCGAGGCTTCAAAAAACTGCAGTCCTAGTTTCAAGTCTATATTGTTTCTCTGATTTTTGGAGGGAAACTCTGAAAGAAAAGCTTCTTCTCTGACTGAGGTCTATTTTTAAGTTTCTCACATGTTCTCGCCTTCAGTTTGCTCACCTGCTGCGCGTTAGAACGAGGTTGATAAACTTATACTACAAATCATAGATTAGCAGAATGTACTACAATGTCTTAACTGTTTGCATGAGCTATTCTCTCACAAACACCGAGGCGGAGTTCTGCAGCCTGTGACAGTCAGAATGTGGGGGTGTAGCTCAGTGGTAGAGGTATTCAAGAGGTCTCTGGATGCCCCCTCGAGTCTAAATGATGTCTAGCTGTCCTCTTACCTTCCTGCAGGTGGAGTTCTCCATGTTCACCCTCATCAGATCGTTCGTCAGCTGGTCCCTCTCAACGCAGAGATCCCTGTCTTTGTCTCGCAGGGCGTCTCTCTCCACCGGCAGAGTCTCATTCTCCTTCTGCAGGAAAGAGAGCTGCTCCAGCCACTTACTGTGAGCGTCTCTCTCCTTCCTGAGAATCCGCAAGGTCTTCCACTCAATGAAGTCGTCCATTAGCTTCTTCTCCTCCGCAATCAACCTGTTTGTTGGGTGAAGAAGAAGAAGAAGAAGATCAGCATGGAAACGTTTCCCTGCGGATTTAAACGCTAACTCTGTCCTGGACTTTTACTTTTGCCTCTCCAACTCGTCTTCGTTCTTCTGTCTATCAATGTTGGCTTTGAGCTTCTCGTTCTGACTGACCAGCAGCTTCGTCTGGGTCTCCGTGTCCGACTGCTGCTGCATCACCAGGCTCAGCTGCTCCTCCAGCTCCTGCTGCTTGCGGGATTTTGCCGCTGAGGAGAAGAGAGGAAAAGTAAATAAGGTGCTTCCCTGTGTCCAGCTTGAGGTGTTGCATCCGACAATCTGACATTCACAACGTCACGCAGCAATATCAAGCATTAACCTTTGACATCAGAGTCTAGTCTGAGTCAGGCGGCAACCTCGGGGTCTGCTGATTGAAGTCAAAGCTTCATGTGTTGAAGCTGCATTCTCTCTAGTGTCCACCAGGGGGCGACTCCTCTGGTTGTATAGAAGTCTATGAGAAAATGACTCTACTTCTCTCTTGATTTATTACCTCAGTAAACATTGTAAACATGAGTTTATGGTCTCAATCTCTAGTTTCAAGTCTTCTTCAATACAGCATGATGTTCATCTAGTACATTATGGTCCATTTAGAGTCAAACAGACCATAAAGCAGATTGAAGCAGCTCTTAAAGGTAAAGAAGAAGAAGATTAAAATAGTAAAGACTTTTCCCATCGTCTCACCCAGCATCTCGCTCTCCGAGTTATGTTCATCCAACCGCTGCTGCAGCTCCTCCATCTTCTCGCTGTGCTGCAGCTCCAGGGCCTCTTTGACCAGTCCGTTCGCCTCCGGCTGACTCTTCAGCTGCTCCGTCAGCTCCTCCACCTTCTTCTCTTTTGCAACCACTAAGCCTTTCAGGTTCTTGGTGGTGTTTTTCTTGTCCTTCTCCAGCGAGCCGTACCGAGAGGTCCGGTCCCCGTTCTGTTTCTCCAGCTCGTCATATTTCAGATTACATCTGCAGGTTGAAGGTTATTATATGTGTGTGTGAGTATCTACTGAGGTTTGTCTTGTTTAAAATAAAAAAGACTGCACTAAGCTGGAGAGAGCTCACAACAAAAAGTATTTTATTTTCTAAAACAAGATAAACTGATCCACCACATATCATACTGTTTTTTTATATATATTAAAAATATATATATTTCAAACACATCTGCAAAATAAGTGCTGTTGCTCTAAAATACATAATAGACTAACTTAAATACTCAAATACTGTTTGAGAGCTGTAACATTACTATTTATAAAATATTAAATAATATTAATTGTTTCAGTCATGTTTGAAGCAAACATTTGCAGGTTCCAGCTTCTCCAATGTGAAGATCTGCTGATTTTATTTGTCATGTATGACAGTAAATGTAATGTTTTTGGATGTTTGCACTGATGGCTTAATAAAACATACAACTAGAATACAACTTCTGAGTCTGGGAAGTTTTAATTAGCATTTTTTCACTATTTTCTGATATTTTATAGAAAAAACTATTAGCTAATTTTCAGTTGCAGCCCGAGCTGTCACTTTAAATTAATTATGTGTTTTAGCTAGTTGGCTATATTATATTTATTATTGTACTGTATCTTTTAAAAACTATTTCTTATCGTATTTATTTGTAGTTAAATTTATACTTTAACTCAGTATTGTTTAGTCAAGGTTCTATCTTTGTTCCAATCAGTTAAACAGTTTTATAATAATTACATTTTTTCATTATTAATTATTTTAACAGCAGATTTAACATGGTGGCAGTGACACTGATTTAGATTGTTGTCAGTCACAGTTAGCATTTTATTTGGCACAAATAAGGGGAACAAACTGGTGCTAATGCTAACAGAGCTAACGTTGATTTAGCTAACGTTAGCTAAAGAGCTACATGACAGTTCTCTTTTTTATCAGTTGGTTACATTCACTAAGTTTAAAAGATAAAACTAGAGCATATATCTAAGTTACATTTATATGTCATTCTTTGTTTTAATAAACTATTTAGGATGTATTTCCCCCCCAGAAGAGAAGCAGGTCTGTCGTGTAACATTAGCTAAAGTTAGCTAAGTTAGCTGACGTTAGCTGACATTAGCTCAGTCTTACCTCTCCAACTGCTCCTCCAGATATTGAATTTGTCTCAAATATAACAACCTCTCTTTGTCCGTAGAACCGATTATGTCCTCCATGTTTATGTGTTTATGTGTTTCGTGTATATTTTCTCGTTTTTTGTGTATCTCTGCTTTTCAAAATGCTTTTTTAGGGCATTTAAAAAAAGAGAAAATAACCTCAACCTGTTGCTACGGAATGCTGCATTCAGGGTCTGCTCAGAAAGTTCTACTCTATTCAAAACAAACTGTCATTAATATGATTTACAAGAGAAAACAAAACAATTAAAACATGTTTTTATGAATTTCTAAAATTGAAATATACAATATAATAATATATCATATATATATTTAATATCCAAACTTTTACAGATTTATTCCAGTTGTTGCTTGCGAATGCTGCCTTCAGGGACTGCTTGGAAAGTTCTTCCCTTTTCTGAAATAAAGAAAGCGATTAGAATTATAATGTATTACACCAGGCACCAGCCATAAAATGAAAATGTAAATTAAAGTCAATGAAATGCTGGTGAAGGACTTCAGAACAGAGGAATAAAACATTTAGGGAACATTCCAGTCTGTGTTATATTGTTGTTTTCATTATGTTGAAAGTTACTGATTATACATTTTCTGGTTTTGATTGTTCTTAAAAGAGACATTTTGAATTGTTATTTTTTTATTGGTTTATTGGTTGGTAAAAGACACCCTTTATTTTTACTATATTTTCTATTGATTGGCAAATCATGTTGCATTCTATATGTACAATGTGCACTAATAATGAAATAAATGATCA